CCTCTCCCCATATGAACCTCCCTGGACGCTGAGATCATCTTCTGAGGCCTTTTGCCATGTGCCTCCTCCTCAAGAGGTCCGGAGGGTGGCGACAGGAGAATGGGCCTTCTCTGCAGTGGCTCCCCATCTGTGGAATGCTCTCCCCAGGGAAGTTCATTTTTGGGGGGAGGGTTATTGGGTTGTTGTTTTTATTTTGATTATGTATTTTGTGGTTTTATATTTAGATTTTATTCTGTGAACTGCCCTGAGACCTCCGGGTATAGGGTGGTATATAAATTCAATCAATCATCATCATCTCCTTAATCACAACTCCCCTGTAGCTGCTGAGGTCCTCTCACAAATCCCGCAAAAACAAATGATAGATGGCCCTGCAATATGTCCAAATCTGGGAGAGCTATGTGCAGCTATTAACGAAATGAAAAACAACAAAGCCAGTGGACCTGATGGGATACCTGCCAAAGTTTTCAAAGTGGGCCGGATTAAATTTACACAACCACAAGCTCATCAAAGAAATCTGGGAGAGAGAGGAGATCCCGGCAGACTTTATGGATGCCAGAGTTATCAATCTTTTTTTAAAAAAGGTGATAGAACTGCAGAAATTATTGAGACATCTCTTTATTAGCTGCAGCCTGCAAACCTCTTGCAAGGATCTTAGTAAACTGTCTCTTAACAATATCTGGGGCGACCTTTCCTAAATCCCAAAATGGTTTTAGACCTTCTAGGACAGGCATCCCCAACCTGCGCCCCTCCAGATGTTTTGGCCTACAACTCCCATGATTCCTAGCTAACAGGACCAGTGGTGATTGGTAGTCCAAAAATCTGGAGGGCCAAAGGTTGGGGATGCCTGTTCTAGGTGGCAGTAGGCATGATTTTCACTGCTCGACAGCTTCAAGAAAAATGCAGAGAGCAAAACCAATCCCTGTATATGGTGTTCATTGTCCTGACTAAGGCCTTCAACACTGTAAATCGTAATGCCCTGTGGACTGTTCTTCTGGAAATCGACTGCCCAGATATATTTGTGAACACCCTTTGGCTCCTCCATGATAATATGACAGCAACTATTGCGGATAACACTTGCTCTCAAAGTGAACCATTCACAGTGGAATTGGGCATTAAACAGGGATGTGTTATCGCCCTTCATTGCCATGATCCTACACATTGTCGAAGCGAAACTTCCCACCAGGGTAGAAATCATATATCAAACAGATGGAAAGTTCTTTAATCTGAGTAGGCTGAAAGCAAAGAGTAAAGTTACTGTAACTTCCATCGGAGAGCTTCAATATGCTGATGACAACGTTGTGTGTGCACACTCAGAGGATGACCTCCAAACCATCCTAAATATCTTTGCAGAAGCTTACAAAAAGCTTGGCCTGTTGCTCAAAATCCAAAAAACCAAAGTGCTGCACCAACAAGCACAAAACAACCCTTCTGCAGCACCACAGATCCAACTCAATGGTGTAACTTTGGAAAGTGTCAATCACTTCTCCTACCTGGGCAGTTATCCTTCCACAAGGACTGACATTGATGCTGAAATCCAGCATCGCCTGAGCTCTGTGAGCGCAGCTATCTCCTGATTGAAGTGCAGAGCATTTGAGTAGTGGGACATTTGCAGGGAAACCAAAGCTATCGTACTACCAAGCTTACTGTATGCTTGTCAAACATGGACCACTTATAAATGCCATCTCTGACTCCTTGAAAGATTTCATCAATGGTGTCTCCAAAATTTTTTACACATCACTTGGAAAGACAGGCGAACTAAGATCAGCAGTGTTGAAGCAATGATTCTTCAACATCAACTTCATTGGACTGGTCATGTTGTTTGGATGCCTCACTATTGTCTTCCAAAGCAACTACTCTATTCCGAACCCAAGAATGGAAAGCGAAATACCGATGGACAACAAAAGAGGTTTAAAGATGTTCTCAAGGCACATCTAAAAGAATGTAACATAAGCACTGATAACTGGGCAACGCTGGCCTGTGAGCCTTTACCGAAGGTGTTATGGGCTTTGAAGAAGCGTGAACTCAGGGCAAAAGGGAGAAATGTGTTAAGAGGAAGGCACTCTTGGCAAACCCTCATCCTGATCAACTCCCGCCTGGAAACCGGTGTCTCCACTGTGGAAGGACGTGTGGATCCAGAACTGGCCTCCACAGTCACTTATGGACTCACTGTTAAAACCGTGTTCATGGAAGACCATCTTAGTCGTCTACAAGTGATCTCCTGAGAAGAAAATGATGTTTGCATTAATTGATAAATATGTGTAATGCTAGCTATGCGTAGATGTGTAGCTGGCTGTGGCACCATTGCACCCTGACTGCATGTGGATTTAGACTGAAGATGCAGGACCGGGGGGGGGGGGAATGGCTGTTTTGAGATCTGCCTTGAGACCGGCATGACTTCAGCCCAAGGTTGCTTCCTGCCACTTTGTGGTGGTACCACTTTGTGGTACTCACAAGCCACCTCCTTTCTTCTCCTGCCTCCTGTTACCAGAATCCAGTGCCCCGTTTCTATTCCCAGTTACCACCACCTGCAGCTACACGATTACGCCTTGAGAAAGATCTGTCCCGTCTCTTTTCCTCTCCCTGCCCCCCCTTTCTTTCGTTCATTGCCACCGGTTTCAAATAAAGGCATCTGCCTGCCCCCTTTTCATCTCGTCGCCTACGGGCAAGATTGAAAGGAATCAGCTGTCCCACTTCAACATCCTTGCTCCACAGCGCCCCTAGTGGCTGGCTTCCTGGTACTGCAGCTATGGAACATTCTGCAAGACTAAGAGCGACAAAGTAGCGAACTCTCGAAACCAGAGCTTTCACTAGGAACTGCTCAGCTAAGAAAATGTCGCATCTCTCTTCGAAAAATTATTTTTCTTCCTGTAACCTTGTGTAAAATCGCTTGTAAAGGTATGATTTTGTTCCTAAACTGTAGACCAAGTGTGCTACGCCTTGCATCGTGGGAATCCTAATGCCATCCATAATCCCTAAAGTCACGCAGGCAGACTCTCCAGGGGAAATCCCACCTTTAAGGGCTCTGGCAATTGTTTAAGGATTACCACTCTTATCCAGGGGCTTTTGCATAATGGGGACCTCTGGGTGCTGTATTGTTGCCTTAATGGGTCACAGGAAAAACCTGTTTCTAGCCCAAACACCAGAATGTAGCTTCTCCGCCTGGAGGTGTGATGCATCTGTGACACTGACCCCATGGGACTTGGATGTTTGGGAAAGAAGAAGACTTAATTTTTTCTCCTCAATGTAAAGTTATAAAAAAAACATGCACACTTTCTCCAACTTTGGTTGACCAATACACTGACCAAAGGCTTAATAGCCCGCTTTGCAGTGCATTACACCTGGTTGTCTCTTCTTGTTTCTTCTCTGCTCTGACCGAGGAACCTAGCATCCAGCCGGGAGTCGCCTCAGGTGCTCTCTGGCAATTGCTTCACTTGTGGCAAATTTCCCATTCTGCTAGCATTACATTCTGTGTCAGAAATGGCATGTAGCCAGCAGGCGCATACAAAGGCATGTACTTCAGGGCTGGAAGTCCCAACTGGTAGCAGGTTCCCCTTCACATGAAGTAGCTTGCCAGCGTGCAACCAAGGCTTGAACCTTTACTTTACCTTTTGACCTGGGGGACAGACAAGGCAGACATGGATCTGCCCACTCCTTCACTGCCCACTTCTGCCATCCACAGAGGTCACACAGAGAGCCAGTGTGGTGTAGTGGTTAAGAGCGGTAGTCTCGTAATCTGGGGGAACCGGGTTCGCGTCTCCGCTCCTCCACCTGCAGCTGCTGGGTGACCTTGGGCCAGTCACACTTCTTTGAAGTCTCTCAGCCCCACTCACCTCACAGCGTGTTTGTTGTGGGGGAGGAAGGGAAAGGAGAATGTTAGCTGCTTTGAGACTCCTTAAAGGGAGTGAAAGGCGGGATATCAAATCCAAACTCTTCCTCTTCTTCTTCTTCACCTGCTGTGGTGAGAGGACTCAAAGCAGGCAAGGAGGGGGGCTTACTACACTCCCCTTTCCTTTGCTCTTTCCAGGCATTGTCCACACTTTAAAGCTCTATGCCCGAGTGGTCTTTTTTCTTTTTGGTCTGGAGCTCTGCCCACCAAAACCCACTCTTTAAAGTTCAACCAGAGCAAATGGAAATCCACAGAAAACCTGACTTGATGTTTGCTTCAACTGAGTGTGAAAGAGCGGGTTTTTGCAGGCAAAGCTGGGAGGAGAGAGAGAGAGAGAGAACCACCATGCTGGGACATGGAGCTTTTAAGCATGGACTTGTGCCTGGAAAGAGAGGAGCTAAAGGTAAGTGTGTCTGAGCCCTAAGCATGGAGGACAGAACTGGGGAAGAAATGGTGGGAGGAGTCGCAGTCGCCTTGTTGTCTCCTACTCCATGGATGGCAGAAACATGCAGTAAATGCAACTTCCTGCAAAGAACTGAACAAAGGAATTCCATCATCTATGAAGCAGCCAAAGCTGCACAGAGAACCTAAATATAGATGAGCGCGATCAGGCTGATGTTGAAACATCCTAGCAGCACCTTCTCCACCCACCTCTGCAGCAGGCAGCCTCCCAAGGACAGTAGCTGTCCTGCCTCCATGTGTCCTCTGCCAGTCACGCTTCCCTCCTCACTTATAGCATTACAACTTACCTTTGCCCCAAACTCTGCAATTCTAGGCAGGCAAAGAAGAAGAAAAGGCACAGAAAATGAAACTGCAAAGCATTGCTTCCTGAGAATCTGTTCTCTTTTGTAAAAAAAGCAAAAAAACAAAAACAAAACCAGAACAAAAACAGTTTGTAGCTCTGAAGACTGCAAAGATGTGTTTGGATTTTTTGGGCAATACCCCCTGAAAGCTCAGAAGCAAGAGAGGTAGCTGTTACAAGATTTCCAAAGCTCAGGCAGTGGGGCTCCACTGCCCCCTCGGTATGAACAGCAGCAGTAGAATAAATAATGCACAAAAGTAAGAAATAAAAATAATAGAAGTATGCAAAGTAAGAGAAGTTATGAAACTTTGCTTAATTTGCAAAATTTATATAGGTCACGGAACTCACCTTTCTCAATATTTTGGTATCTTTAAACCTGCCGAATATAGCCCTGCATGTGGCAGTCTGGTCTGGTTGAGCCCCCCCATCATGTAGTCTCAGTGTAATGTCATCACCTTTTCAAACCATACCCAGCCCAGGTGGAAAAACCACCCCTGAACCACCCTGGATTTTACTTGAACAGTCATGCCCTGCCCCCAAACACCCCAAATGTGTTTTATCCCCAACACGACCCCTGGAAAAACAGCCACCCCATGCTGACAAACGACTCCCCTGGGACCTCAAGCAACATCCTGCTATGCCTTAGGCTCTGCCCTTGACTCTTCTTCCCACCAAATGCTCCTGGCTGCCCCCTGGAAGTCGCCCTTCAGCACCAGCCCCATTTCAAGAGACTGCACCAATGGCTTTGTAGCTTACAGCAACCCAGCAGCTCCACACTGGCTCCTCGCCTCCATTGCAAAGGCATTGCAAAGCAAGAAATGCAACAGTTAAATCTGGAGGGGGCATCATCCCTCCTAGGTTTCTGTGAGATACACCCAGGGCTGTTTCTTCCCCAGTTCTCAAGTGTACTCTTAGGTGAACAGCAGTTTTTCCTGCTTTTGCAAAGTTAGGGTCTAGTTATTCCAAATTGTTCCTGGAACTAGAATTCAAGCCCTTTGTCTGGTTTGCTTCCTAAAAAATTAAAACAAAAACATTTAAGGCTCAAGATTCAGTCCTGCTTCCTCCCAATGCATCCACAGGCTCTCCCTCCAGTGGGTTTTCCAGCACTGCAGGACAGCAGTCTTGGCTCCCATTCTGAGTCTGGAACTTGGAGACAATCCTGGCAGTCTCCGGAGTGATCTCAAAGTGCTTGCGCTGCCCTCGAGTGTCTGGTGAGTTGCTGCGGCTGTTTGTACCTTGCTCCAGGAGACGGCTTCCTGCCTCTGAGCCAGCCATGGTAGCAGCCAGCAGGGGCAGACTGGACACTATGGGGGTGACAGTGCGAGGGTGCTTCACAGGCATCCGGCTGAAGCGCCCCCTGGTCTGTGGGCTGACATTGGCAGCTTCAGGGTCAAGTATAGCGTCATTCTGTTTGGTGCCATCACTGCTGTTCAACTCTGAGTGAGGAGAAGAGACATTATGGAGAATTAGGGAAGCAGACCACCTATTGAATGTATCATCCCAGGAAGCAACATATCTTAACTTGAAAGATGTCCCAAATCTAAGGATTTAGATATCTTATGGCTAAAAATAAAGGAGGAATTCAAACAGAGTGAAATACATATGGAGAAAAAGCTAGGAGAGATGCATGAGTTGAGAGACAAGAAAATAGAGGGAGTAGTAGGCGAACTGTCTAGTAAAATTAAAGACTTAACAATTCGATCAAAGACTATGGAAGAAACAAACAAAAAAATACAAAAAGAAATGAAAGAACAAAGGAAGGAGACAGATAGGATAAAAGATGAAATAGGAGAACTGAATAGAAATCAAGATCAAGTTCTGGATAATTTAGCGATGATTGAAATGAAACAGAAACAGCTAAACCTAAAGTTTAGAGGAGTAGGAGAAGAAGCAAATGAGAACATTAAAGAAAAAATGACTAAAGAACTAGCGAAATGGTTGGAATTGAAAGAAGAAGAGGTTGCATATACGATGGAAAATGCTTTTAGAATAAAAATGAGGTCTAAACAAGTAAAATCAAAAAATCAGAAAAGAAAAAACGTAACCAAGGGAAACTGCCAAGATCCTTTAATAACCTGGAGGAAAATTTAGATTTAATAGACATCTGGAGATACAAACACCCAATAGAGAAGCAATTCACCTTCTTTTCAGAACCACATAAGAGTTGGGGCAGAATTGATCAAATTTGGGTCTCAAGAGAACTAACATTAAGAACTCTGAAATGTGAAATCCAACCTAGAACTCTCTCTGATCATAATTCGATAGTTTTTGAAATAAAAGGTGTATCACAGGGCGGGTTCAGGTGGAGAATGAATGAATATCTACTGGAGAGTGAAGAAATTATTGAAAAGGCCAAAGTCACCTTAAAAGACTATTTCAGTTTGAATCTTAATAAAGAAACAAGCATAGATGTAGTCTGGGATGCCAGCAAGGCGTTCCTAAGAGGTTTTCTCATCCAGCAAAACAGTTATAAGAGGAAAGTAAGAGAACAAAAGAAAGAGGAAATCCTCAGTCAGTTAAGAGAATGTGAGAAAAAATTAACAACAAATCCGAAAGACGAACAAAACATACAAATAATAAAAATATTACAAACACAGTATTCAATGCTAACAAGTCAAGAAGTTGAATGGAAAATTAAGTCAACTTCGAATCAGCTAACAAAACAGGTAAATTATTAGCTTGGCAATTGCGAAGAAGGCAAAAACAAAATGTGATAAATAAGATAAAAATAGAGGAGCAATTGATAGAAGACCCAAAAGAAATAAAGGAAAACTTCCTCAAATTTGAAAATTTTCCTCAAATTTTATGAGAAATTGTATAAAAAGGAAGATGAAGAGATAACCCGAATAGAAAAATATTTAGAAGACTACAGTGGGAAAACTATAACAGAGGAAGAAAGAACTCAATTAAATAAACCCATAGAAGCAGAAGAGATCCAGGGTGTGATAAAAGATGAAAATTTGGGAAAAGATGAAAGAGAAAAATTAGAGATACAGAATGGAATCAAGGTGGTTAAAAAAATAAAATATTTGGGAATTTGGCTAACTACAAAAAACATAAACTTAATTCAGGACAATTATTTTACAACATGGAAGGAAATTAAAAAAGATCTAGATACGTGGAACAGAGTAAAACTTTCGTGGTCGGGAAGGATGGCGGCAATAAAAATGAACATACTCCCAAAAATGTTATTTTTATTCCAAAACATTCCAGTGATTAGAGGTTCCACAATGTTTAAAGATTGGCAAAAAACTTTTTCGAAATTTATATGGCAAGGGAAAAGACCGAGAATTAGATTCAAATTACTCACAGATCGGAAAGAAAGAGGGGGATTCTCGGTGCCAAACCTGAAATTATATTTCGAAGCCTCCTGCCTTTGCTGGATCAAAGATTGGATTAATTTGGAAAACACTGACCTGCTAGACCTAGAAGGCTTCAACAACAGATTCGGTTGGCATGCCTATTTGTGGCTAAATAAAGAAAAGGTACATAAAGGTTTTTCAAACCATATTATCAGAGGGCCACTACATGAAGTTTGGGAGAAAAATAAAAAACTTTTGGAATGGAAAACACCCTGGTGGCTATCACCAATTGACATCCTTACAACCAAAAAAGCAAACATGGAAGGAGAAAGACTGACTTATGAAGACCTACTGATAAGATCAGAAAGCGGCTGGAAATTGAGAACATATGAGGAGTTGAAAGATAAATTAACAGGCTGGCTGCAATTTCATCAAATAAATGCAGTATGGAAGGAAGATAAAAAAGTAGGGATAAATGAGAAAAAAATCTAAATTTCAGATAGAAATAATTGACGGTAAAACCAAGTTATTATCTAAAATGTATAACATATTTTTAGAATGGGACACTAAAGATGAAGAAATAAAGGAGGTCATGACAAAATGGGCAATGGACTTGGGATACAATATAGAATATGATAAGTGGTTGAAATTATGGAACAGTGGAATGAAATTCACGGCATGCGTTACGCTTAGAGAAAATTTGGAAAAAATGATGTATAGGTGGTACATCACACCGGCAAAACTAGGGAAAATGTACAAAACAGGAAATAAGGCTTGCTGGAAGTGTAAAATCAAAGAAGGCAATTTCTACCATATGTGGTGGACCTGCGAAGAAATGAAGAAGTTCTGGGAACTTGTTTATAATGAGTTAAAAAAAATATTTAAATACACTTTCCCTAAAAGACCAGAAGCCTTCTTACTAGGAATAATTGGGGATGAAATTAAAAAAGAAGATAAGACACTATTCCAATACGCAACAGTAGCGGCTAGAATATTAATAGCACAAAATTGGAAAAGCCCAAACACCCCAACTATCAGAGATTGGCAAACAAAATTATTTGAATATGTTGAACTAGCAAAAATGACGCAAAAAAATAGAAACCAAAAAAATACAAAGTTTATTAGTGACTGGAATAAATTTATGGTATACATTGAAGGAAACTATAGAAACTTAAAAACTACAGCAGGTTTGATAAAAATCTTACGATGCGCAAACCATTAACAATTAAAGCAGCAGAAAAAAGAAAGAAGTTTTATTAAGAAGCCCGAAATCGGGAGGGAAGGAGGTCAATAGGTATGTAGAGGAAAGATTTAAAGATATAAAGATATAAAGATTTAAGGAAGAAGACAAAGAATTGTAATGGAAACTGATGCTATTTTTGTGTTATGCATGGATATTTCTTTTGAAATTGTTGATTTGTTTTTTCTTTTGGTTATTTAAGTGAAATTCAATAAAAATAAATTTAAAAAAAAAGAAAGATGTCCCAAAGCAATGCTTATTAAAAGTTAATGACGAGGAAAGCTCCTCTTTGATCACTTCCTTTGTTGGGCTTCCCCAAGCACTGGAGTTGAGGTGGAGAGACACTGGGAGGAAAATGGTGGTTTTGATCCATGGCAGAGATTTAAATAAAGCAGGGATGATGGGACAAGGAGTTGTTTTTTTAAAAAACAAAATAAAACCTAGTTTTATGATGGAAAAATAGCAGAGATGGATGCAACACAGAAGCTAACACAACAGAGCCTTTCTAAACTTCCTTCTTGCTGTACTCAAACCTTGTTTTAAACTGCCATCCCCCCCCCGCAGTGTCACTTCTGCCTGCTCTATTCAAACCTCTGCCATTATTTAAAATCACCAGTGTTCCTCCATCCCTGCTTTATTGAAACCTCTGCCATTGTTTAAAACAACCACTTTTTCCCTCTCTGTGTGACTTTACAGCCCTGTTTCACTCATTTCTCTGCCATTGTTTAAAACTGCAATTTTCCTCTCAGTGTCTCTTTATCTCCCTTTACTCAAAACTTCTGTCATTGTTTAGAACAGTCCCTTCCCCCTGCTTTTGGTGTATCTCCCTGTATCTCCAGTACTCAAACTTCTCTCTTTCCAATTCCTTAGCTGCCTCATGTGAGAGATATAAAATATGCAATGCTCTAAAATACTCCATAGTACTTTCATACAATGTTTTGACAATGAAGGTCCTTTAGTCAAACCTCTGCTGTGGTTTAAAATCACCATTTTTCTTTCAGTTCTCTCTATCTCTGCTTTACTCAAATGTCTGCCATTTCTTTAACCACTTCCCCCCTCTCACTGTCTCTCCCTTCCTACTCCTATGCCATGACCTCTGCTGTTGCGCAACCTGCCTTCACTTTTGCACCCCCACAGCACCATGACTTCACGCCAAACCAGGAGTGATGTGGCAATACAAATCCTCTTATGGGGGGTCATACCTTTCTTATTATATCGAGATATATCATTTGGGTTTGGCCATTCTAATACTAGAGCAGGCAAAATTTAGAATGCAGTGGCTTCTCGAAATTTTGATATAGAAACATTATCTAGAGAGACAGGGTGTCTGGAAGCTATGAGGGAGACATTGTGGATCTTAATGGTTTGGAGGAAGAGTGGGGCACTGTTGAACCTGAAGAATACTATATTCTCTCCCCAAAATAGGAACCAATATTCTTTAAATGCCTGATCAGGATCTAGGAAAGAACTTTACCTATAGTTTCCCCACTTTCAGGAAAGTGGGTTTGCTCCATACACTGCTTCTGCCTGGCAGGATCCACAGCAGTGCTATTGTCTTCATCCAGATACGGCTTAGAGGAGGACTTCTGTTGGAAGGAAAAGCCATGTTTGTGAATCTGTGTATTGTGCTCCCCATATAGCCACACCTGTATGAAGGTGTGGCTGCTGCAAGAAAAGCAAACTTGCTAAAGGACTTTCAAAAAGTTAGAATCAGAGTCAGAGGGAAAGAATCCCATTACTGTGTATGTATATAATCATTTAATTACAGAATTTCATTTAAAAGTTTTAAATTCAAGTGCCACATTTTTTAAAAAAATGTGTGTGGGGGAGTATTTTCATTATTTTATAAATATTTTTGTTTCAGAATGTTCCCTGTTGAAACATCCAATGCTCACATTTTGTTTTCAGAATTTGAAACTGGTCACTGCCATTTGTCGTACCATGTGCTTTTGAAATGTCAAAAAATGGATCTATTCTGAAAAAGTTGAAATGTTGGCAAAATTTCGCTCCCCCCACCCCCATACACTGCTTGGCAATTTATTTTTTAAAATTGAGATCCTTGTAAAATGTAGAACATTGGTGTCTCCATCGCAGTTTGCACCACAGAGGTCAACCACATGCAGACTGACAAGCTCAGAAGAAAAGATGGAGGCAACAGAATATGAGAAATGAGGGATCCTTGTATGCCCAGTAATCATAAGGCCTGTTACTCATATTGGCAGTAGTCTTAGAACCAAGGTATGTGCTGAGCAGAAGCACATGGATTGTACTGCGCCAAACTACAGATCAGGGACTGCATTTTGACCACAAACTTGACATGAGCCAACAGTGTGACGTGGCAGCTAAAAAAGCCAATGCAATTCTGGGCTGCATCAATAGGAGTATAGCATCTAGATCAAGGGAAGTAATAGTGCCACTGTATTCTGCTCTGGTCAGACCTCACCTGGAGTACTGTGTCCAGTTCTGGGCACCACAGTTCAAGAAGGACACTGACAAACTGGAACGTGTCCAGAGGAGGGCAACCAAAATGGTCAAAGGCCTGGAAACGATGCCTTATGAGGAACGGCTAAGGGAGCTGGGCATGTTTAGCCTGGAGAAGAGGAGGTTAAGGGGTGATATGATAGCCATGTTCAAATATATAAAAGGATGTCACATAGAGGAGGGAGAAAGGTTGTTTTCTGCTGCTCCAGAGAAGCGGACACGGAGCAATGGATCCAAACTACAAGAAAGAAGATTCCACCTAAACATTAGGAAGAACTTCCTGACAGTAAGAGCTGTTCGACAGTGGAATTTGCTGCCAAGGAGTGTGGTGGAGTCTCCTTCTTTGGAGGTCTTTAAGCAGAGGCTTGACAACCATGTCAGGAGTGCTCTGATAGTGTTTCCTGCTTGGCAGGGGGTTGGACTCGATGGCCCTTGTGGTCTCTTCCAACTCTATGATTCTATGATTTTGAATTTTCTCCCATAAAACACTGCTTGCATATATAAAGCTTAGGAGAAGAGTTCTAGGCTAATTTTTCCCTTGACATGTTAAGTTTTCATGTGCAAAAGGTCATGCATATGTGACTCGAACATGCAATTCCTTTACCTGTAGCAAAAAGGGGTTCAGTCCAAAACAAAACCATCATGTGATTCTTCCACAGCTCAGCTCTTATAGTAAATTCAGAAATGGTCCACATTACCTAGTACCATCAACCTTGACTAGTAACAGCTTGATATGTCTCCAAAAAAAAAAGTAAAATAAAAATCACCTGAGATCCTTTAGCTATAGAAACCAATGGTAGCTGTCAGTGAGGTGCCCTGGCTCTCCCAGCTTCCAAGCACCGTATGCCGCATGCACTTATGGAAGGAGCTTGGCCCTGGGCAATACAGTGGAGCCAGTCCATTGCTCTTGCCCTTCTGTGCCTGCACAGTGCTGAGCTCCCTGGGCCTCAGCTGCCTCCCTCCAGGATGCTGGGAGAGCAGCAGCATCTCAGCCCACCAACAGCGACTGGATACCAAGGACGGAATATGTGGCCACATGTAGGGAAGGCATTTGTACTATAACCTGGCTATTTTCACCACTGTCCTGACCTTAGCAGCTACAGGACAACAACATGGTATGATCATTTTTCTCCTGACCTGGATACAGTCATGTTGTCCCACCAATGTCAAATACTCCTTTTATACATGATGATTTCTATATTGAATCTGGCATCCTGTGTTTTTGCAATTACTGTATTTTTCCATGTATAAGACAATGTTTTTGGCTAATTTTTAAAGTCATAAATTGGGGTTTGGTTTATACAGAGATGGGGGACGCGGGTGGTGCTGTGGGTAAAACCTCAGTGCCTAGGACTTGCCGATCGCATGGTTGGCGGTTCGAATCCCCGCGGCGGGGTGAGCTCCCGTCTTTCAGTCCCAGCTCCTGCCCACCTAGCAGTTCGAAAGCACCCCTAAGTGCAAGTAGATAAATAGGTACCGCTTTATAGCAGGAAGGTAAACGGCGTTTCCGTGTGCTGCGCTGGTGCTGGCTCGCCAGAGCAGCTTCGTCACGCTGGCCACGTGACCCGGAAGTGTCTCTGGACAGCGCTGGCCCCCGGCCTCTTAAGTGAGATGGGCGCACAACCCTAGAGTCGGACACGACTGGCCCGTACGGGCAGGGGTACCTTTACCTTATACAGAGATGGTGAATGCACAGGAGTTTTAAGAAACACTACTTACCTTCCTGTGGCTGCCATGAAAAAGCTGCCAGAACCAGTTCTGCCAGCCATCACAGGCTGATTGCCGGGAGGATCTTTAAATTTTCTAGCAAATGTCTGGGTTGGATTGTGTGTTTGGCGGGGGGACTGGGGGTTACACTTTGCCCACTTGGCCAAAAAAAGCTCAACAACCTTCTGCTGCCACCAATCATCCAGATTTTCACTTCTAGAGATATGGCAACCCTAAAATATCGATTTCTTAATTTTGGGTTCAAAAAAATAGGGGTCCTCTTCTACATGGGAACATCTTATACACAGAAAAATACGGTACTTCCCCTATTCTTAGCACCACCATTTTGAGGGGTGCCCATGGAAGTATATCTGTAGAGGCAATGTGGTAGGGAAATGAAGGGAAGCATGTGCTTGGGAATACCGCCCCCACTCCTACCTCAGAAGGTGCATCAACATCTCTTTCGCTGCTTGAAAGAGCTTCATTGGTAATTGCTTCTTTCAAAGAGTTTTCACGTTCACAAAGCACAGATGGAGGCAGGTCATCCATCCCAAAAATCCTTTCGTAGTTGAGGATGAGAAACTCAATCAGCTGGGACTGGTACCCTGAGTCCACGAGGCACGACATGGAAACTTCATTGCTCAAGGGAGGGTGGATTAGTGTGGGCCCAAATATGATCCCCAGGTTGTTGGGAGACATCTTGTTATCCTCATATCTCTCAGCCACTCTTGAGGGGGGAGGAGAGAGAATGAATCATCAAAGGTCTGAACCTAAACATTTTCCAGAAATGGGAGACACTGAGGTGCTTAGGCTACATTTTCAGTAAGGTAGGTAATCATTTTCATGTTGTGACTTTGTGGATTAAGGGCTTCTCCACTTCATTCTGAAAAGGATCTCCATGGTTGGCATGCATGGGATGGGTCCTTCATCACTGGTGCCATTCAATAGGGGCTGTGACACTTAGGCAACTGCATTCCACATGGTACAGCAATGGTGATAATGTCAGAGAAGGGATCACATTTTCCCAGCAGTGAAATCTGAAGAAGTGTATCTGAAGAAGTGTGCATGCACACGAAAGCTCATACCAAGAACTAACTTAGTTGGTCTTTAAGGTGCTACTGGAAGGAATTTTTTTATTTTCCCAGCAGTATAATATTGCTGCTTGAGTACTGGAAAAATACAATACCCCTTCAGGAGTGCTACCTTGAGGGAAGAGCCTAGACCCTACATAAAACATGAATAACCATTATAGCTTTATACTATTGGTGCAAAAGTAGTTGTGCTAACCTATCACCTGAGGTTCCCCTCACCTTGCAAGGATTTACTCTGGAGTTACCCTCTTCTCTTTACAATCTTCTGTTTTGTAGAAACACAGGAATCTTCCTTATACAAAGTCAGATTATTTGTCCATCTAGCCTAATATTGTCTACTTTGACTGGCAGCAGCTCTCCAGGGCTCCAGGCAGAGATCTTTTCCATCATCTGCTCCCCAATTGTTTGAACTAGAGATGCTGGGGATTGAAAAACATGCGTTCTGCACATGAGCCTAGCCAGGATTTTTGTTGTGGGGGCAGTCAAAGTTGTTGAGCCCCCCTTGGCTATGCCCATGGTTCTGCAACTGAGCTGTGAATCTCCCTGCATAAGAATTCCCAAATCATTAGTTGCAGAACTTTAGCAAGATGGAGAGGTTTTTGTATGAGGTTTGGGGCTGACTGGGTCTCACGTGAATGGACTAAGTGGTCTGAATCCTATTCCATGACTGATCTTCTTATAGAGCAACCCCGGGGAAGCTTCTGAGGAACTTCAAGGATCACTGGATTATCATGCAGATAAACACAGGCAGTGGCGTAGGGAGCCCCAATGAGACCTGGGGTGGGTGGGCGCACACTGCTTCATAGGGCCCTGGGCTTTCTAGGTATGAGTGGCTTTGTGTTTGCCCTGCAGCTTTCCCCTGCAAAACACTCTTTATTGCTGAATTGGAAGAAATGGCAATCTGCAGAAAACCCAGTTGCCATTTGGTCCATTTCAGAAGGAAACAGCAGGTTTTCCCAGGGGAAAGTGGCAGGGCAAACAGAGGTGTGGACCAATGGATCTGTATTGAAACTGGATACTTCTCTTAAGGATATTTATACCCCACTTTAGAGCTTTGCAAAGAGCATCCAAAGCGGCCCTTATTCCTACAAGAAAAGAGCTCAGGAGTCACTGCTGGTCTCCCTGTTACCTGTAGAGGTGAGCAATGAGGTGCCGTAATGTGTTATAATTTGTTGGTAGCAGTTTGCGCAGTAAATCCTTTGTACTCTTGATGGGATCTGCCAAGGTCTTGGCATCAGCCCCTGTTCTGTATTCCATTCTCTGCACGCTCCTGGAGAGAGCCATGAAATCATCATACAGCTCGTACGGGAGCACAGGACTGGAAAGCTGTAAGAAGAAGGGAGGAGAAGATTTAGAAACACCCCCCCCCTTTACATGCGACTGCAAACATTTTTCAGAGAAATGAGCGAACCACTTCCAGCAGAAGGTAAAGGTAAAAGCTCTTGTTTTCAAATATACCTTCCTTTTATTTTAATTGTATTGTTTTATTGTGTCATCGTTTGCTGTCCTGGGCTCCTTTGGAAGAGCGAGATAGAAAATAATTAATTGATCATCACAATCTTGTAAAAAATGCTGGTCTCCCAGGAGAAGAGCCTTCCTCCCTCAGCCACAGATCTACCATAGCATCTGGAGAGCCTACAGGCTGCTTTCGATAGTACAAAGAACAATGGAAAATAGAGAGCAGAGCAGATGCAACAGAACCATGGGCAGTCATGGGATGCCCTAACTACTCCAGGCAGGGGTCACTGACATTTTGGGGGGCCATTTGAAAATTGTTTTGGTCACCATAAACCCACACCCACATGCACAAACACTTCAACCAAACCATAGAGATGGGAAGGGAAATTGATTCAGTTTGCATTTAAAGAAGAAGATACCTAATTCACACACTGTGAAAAAATGCAGGTACTGGAACAGAGCCATGCTTCAAAATTCACACTTTTCTGTAATTAGCAGCACAGTTCTCCAGCCCAGCACAAAAATACATATAGTTGAGAAAAATGTGCACAAAACTGCCTATATTAGAGAAAATCACATGCAAAAATGCATTATATTAGAGGAAACAGCACAGCTCTGGGGGGAAATGTGCATAGTAGAAGTAAGATGGTATACAAGCACATGCATATGAGGAGAAGTTTGCCCAAACTTATGATTTTTATGAGGACTTTAATTTTTTTTAAAAAAATTGCAAAGAAATGTGGAATTGTGGAGAACTGAATGTTGGAAAAATGTGAAACCGAAATTGCCCATTTTGCCCATTTCTACTAAGCACACACCACAACCTATTCTACTGGCTACAACAGAATGCTTCTTTCGAGCCTAATTTCAGTGAAAGCTGAGGATCCTGGCGACCCCTGAATTAAGGGTTACTGTGCACATACGCAATAAATAAAAATACATAATAAAACTAGTTAGAAATATCAGGGAATAAAGGAACAGAAGGAGCAGAATAACTACAGATTGGGGCACGTGCTGTGCAACTCATGAGCAAGCAAGAAGGAGCAGCAATGCCACAATAAACAAGACTAATGTAGAGTGTCTAGGACTTGCCGATCAGAAGGTCGGCGGTTCGAATCCCTGTGATGGGGTGAGCTCCCGTTGCTCGGTCCCTGCTCCTGCCAACCTAGCAGTTTGAAAGCACCTCAAAGTGCAAGTAGATAAATAGGTACCGCTCCGGCGGGAAGGTAAATGGCATTTCCGTGCGCTGCTCTGGTTCGCCAGAAGCATCTTAGTCCTGCTGGCCACATGACCCGGAAGCTGGACACCGGCTCCCTCAGCCAATAAAGTGAGATGAGCGCCGCAACCCCAGAGTCAGTCACGACTGGACCTAATGGCCAGGGGTCCCTTTACCTTTAATGTAGAGTGTGTGGGAGTTTTGTAGTCAAACCTAACAATGCATACCTGTGCTAGTTAGTATGTGAAGGGGTTAAGGACTACAGAGTTCAAAATTACTAGAGTAGACTCTGTGATGTCACATCCCCTTTCCTCCAAGGAGGGAGGAACTAAAGGTTTCATATTCCTTCCCCTCTCCCTTTAAACGGTGTAAGTTGAGCAGATGTCTGAGCCTGGGACTTCAGACTCAGTCCACATGTTTGAGAATCACTTCTGCATTTTGTAAGCAAGAATACCTTACTTGTGTTGTTTCTGCTGTAGCACTGAACAACGCATGAGTGAGACCTGTGATTACTGAAATAAAGCATTTAAACTTACTAAAAGTTGTGGTCTATTAAGCTCAAGAGGGGCAGAGGCAGGGGAGAACTGTAAGCACTCATATGGGGACATTTAAAAGTCTAACGACCTATACAGTATTTCCCATGCTTTGTAAACGCAGTCTAGATCTGTGTTTTAAACTCTGCTGGGGGCTGCTTTGGCTGAAGTCAAGCCCCACACCCTATTTCTGAATTCATGCAGTCAGCTGTTTTTCTTTGTAGTTCCCCACACATCTGGGACTTCAGGATTAATTGGTATTCACCAGTTATTTCCCAACAGATTGAACCCAGTTGCATGTTTATTTTTTTATATTACATTTGTTTCCACCTTTAGATAAAATAGCACACACACTCGAAAAGGGTTGGGGATGTGTAGCTTGATGAGTTCCCAGAGTCTGCTAAAGACATAAACTTTGGGAAACCACTCTCAGGTTTAGAGAAATGAAATTCTAAGGATGTCTCCCCCTCCATTTCTTACCTCCTTAAGGAAATGTTTAAGGACTCCAGTGATGTCATGAGGTGAATGATCCGAGAGCTCCACCAGCCTCCAGCCACTCTCAAAGGCCTGACACAGCCTCTCCACCCGTGATTTGGCTCCACTGATGCGGTAAATGCCCTGCGTCAAGGACAAAAAAGAGACTGGGCCTGAGGCCACCACACATGATGTATGTGTCAGAAAGGGACCTGGGATTTCTCTCTGACTCAGCAGGGAGGCAGAGGTGTGTGTGCACGAGACTGGACTGCTAGCACATGAAACTGGGAAATCCACATGGACTGAAACTCTGAGGCAGCTCTTGAAGGCCATAAGCAGACGCCTTAGCTCACCAGGAAGTTAGTGCTACCGCGCAGAGTGAAAGAAAGAGTCTAGGGATGCCTCACAACTCTCTGACACCCCCCTCGCTGTTTCCACCCCCCACTTTCTGCACCTTCCCTGAACTGCTGCAATACAGACACGCAAAGAAGCAGGCAACCTGTCTTTTCTTCATAGGTAAGCACCTAGATCCTGCCACAGCACAGTCTGCTCCTCATTAGAGGTGAAGCTGTTCATCACCTTAAAAATTCCCAATAACTGGGAGCTCCCACCACTGTCTCCTTCTTACTGTGATAGGAGAATGGCGGATATAAAATTCTGCACCAGCAGAAAAGCTCAATTCTTCACCAGAAATCCTGTTCTGGTCCCTGCTTATTTGTGGGATTTCACCAGGCATGACTCACACATTTCTTTAGGATTAATGTCTAGAAATTTTTTTGCTCTGGTTTGCTGCACTTGCACAGAACTGGGGAATACAAATGAGCCAATCATAGTCTAATAATTACTCAATTAATTCAGCCTTTATGTTTGGTCAGCAGACATATGTTTATGTCTTTATGTTTTGCTGCTCACTCTGGGTTCTGAGAGGTATGGAGTTTGAGCACTGATGGATTTCTGCATGCAGGGACAAGTTACCTGCACTCCCAGGGCACGCCTTTCTATTTCCGAGGTACACTTTGCCACAATGAATGGCACTTCTTCTGGGAAATCCCGTGACACTTGAAGGAAGTCGATGCCAAAGAGCGATGCCCGTGCCGGCAGTTTCTGGTGACCACAGCTGATGAGGAGGCTCTCCAGGCATTTCTTGTGACAGGTCAGGCAGCACTGCAAATGGCCCAAAGATCCCGTGTTACTCTGGCTGAACTCTTTCCCAGCCCCAAAGGGGCCCCTTGCTAATTTCTCACATCTCAGTACTCTGAGGCAGGTGTAATGCACCAACAGCAGAGGAAAAGCATTTCCATTTGTGCTTCATTCTCTTTTCCAGGTTCCACATCCAGACATAGGGGGAGTCAGAGCACAAACTCCATCTTCTTTTACATGTCTCATTCACATTGGCAATCAAATCTCATTGAAAAACATTCATCAAGTGGAGTTAACTTCACACAAGTGGAGTGTATGAGGATATGGCGAATGTTCAGGACAGCCTGTCTCAGGGCAAAACACGGAACTAGATTAGTAGATTTACAGCAACATCCTATTTATGTTCATACAGAAGTAGTGCTAAGTATACATACAGTGGCGGAGGAAGCCGCTTGGGCACTGTGGGGCCTCTAGAGTCTGCCTGCCTCCTCCCACTCAGCCGCCCTGCAGCTGGGGGGGGGAGGCAGCGGGTGGACCTTTTGGGCAGTGCGGAGCCTGCGGGTGCTCAAGCCACCGCGTCTCTCTCAGGAAAGACACATGGCTCGGGCGCCCTACAGGCCCCGCAATGAGTGCTGCCTGGCATTTTGTCACCCACCTCAGTGGTGACACCCGGGGTGCACCACACCCCCCACACCCCACTTCCTCTCCCCTTGTATACATACGATCGCAACCAAAATCCTAATTATTTCCAGACTTAAAAGTCTAAGAATCTGCCTCAGGGCTTTATGCTGTAAGCTGGGGCCAATTTGTGTGCCTCTCCCTTTCCAGTGCCCAAGTGCCAGCCTGCCTGAGATCTGAACCTCTTGTTGCAGCAAAGCAGTTCCCTTTAATGCTCACTGACCTCTTCACATTCTACGCCTTTGACCACCACGTTCTCACATTCTCTGCATTTTGAAGGGCCCCTCAGCTTCCGCAGATGGTGGCTCTGAGCAGCGCTGGACAGGTTGATGTTCTTAAAGTGGTAATGGGACAAGCCATTTTCAGAGGCAGCATCAGTGAGATCTGAAAAGAGGGTCAGGCATGTGACTATTGTCCTCTGTTAGACTGCAGACATGGCTTCTAGATTAACAGTTAAACATGCACCTTCTACACAGAGAACAGATAGCAGAGGGTGGGAAGGACTAGAATACACAAACCAGTTACAGATAGGTAGCCGTGTTGGTCTGCCATAGTCAAAACAAAAAAAAATCCTTCCAGTAGCACCTTAAAGACCAACTAAGTTAGTTCTTGGTATGAGCTTTCGTGTGCATGCACACTTCTTCAGATACACTGAAACAGAAGTTGCCAGATCCTTCTATATAGTGAGAAGGTGGGGAGGGGTATTACTCAGAAGGGTGGTGGGAATGGGTGATTGGCAGATAGCTGTGATGAGCCTGTTGACGACTCTTAACGACTGCAATAGGTCTTACAGGAAAAAGCAAGGGGTGAGAAGGTGAAAAATGGCTTCGTCATGTATAATGAGATAAGAATCCAATGTCTTTGTTCAGACCAGGTCTCTCCATGGTTTTAAGTTTGGTAATGAGTTGCAATTCAGCAGCTTCTCTTTCCAGTCTATTTCTGAAATTCCTTTGTAGTAAAACAGCTACTTTGAGATCTTGTATCGAATGTCCTGGGAGATTGAAGTGTTCTCCTACTGGTTTCTCTGTCTTGTGATTCTTGATGTCAGATTTATGTCCGTTTATTCTTTGGCGTAAGGTTTGGCCTGTTTGTCCAATATAGAGAGCTGAAGGACACTGTTGGCATTTGATGGCATACACAATGTTAGACGATGAGCAATTAAATAGTCCCGAGATGGTATGTGTGATGTTGTCAAAGTAGCTGTTTTACTACAAAGGAATTTCAGAAATAGACTGGAAAGAGAAGCTGCTGAATTGCAACTCATTACCAAACTTAAAACCATGGAGAGACCTGGTCTGAACAAAGACATTGGATTCTTATCTCATTATACATGACGAAGCCATTTTTCACCTTCTCACCCCTTGCTTTTTCCTGTAAGACCTATTGCAGTCGTTAAGAGTCGTCAACAGGCTCATCACAGCTATCTGCCAATCACCCATTCCCACCACCCTTCTGAGTAATACCCCTCCCCACCTTCTCACTATATAGAAGGATCTGGCAACTTCTGTTTCAGTGTATCTGAAGAAGTGTGCATGCACACGAAAGCTCATACCAAGAACTAACTTAGTTGGTCTTTAAGGTGCTACTGGAAGGATTTTTTTTTGTTTAGAATACACAAAGGAAGGTTTCTTCAAACTCAAAAGGCTCTCAAGTGCCAGGGGGCTGGGAAAGCTGGAGAAGGTAAAGCAGGAACCTCGCCCCTTCTTAACCAGATACATGGAAGTGCAGCAGCCCCCTGGGCTGGCCCTCACACGGCGGGTTCACTCACATTTCCACTTGCCTCGTGTCAAAGTGATTCAAATGTGGTTAAATTTCTTGTGGGTTGACTTTCCATTCTGCTTTTTTGCTGTTGATTTCATTGTGATTAGGCCAAGAGACATTACTACCTTGCAATTTGTCCCTCCAATCCTCTTCAGATATTGAGTCCACACAGAAATCCCAGCATCCATAAAGCCCCTTTAATTCTGGCATGGCAGAGGAGATCACGTGGTAAAATCGTTCCTGAACAGTACCATTACATGATCAAATTTCCCCCTCCCCTGTATATCTTTCCGTAGAAAAATATACATCAGAAAAGGGACACAAGCCCTTCATTTTCCCCAAAATGGAGGTTTTCTCCTGGGAGGCGTTTTTGCTTTTATGTGGGAACATTCAACATGCAGTCTTCACCTGCAGTCTAAAGCTGTACATGCCCAGAACTGATTAACCTCATGATCTGCCATTTGTCTAGCATTTGCAGTTATAGGACTCTTCCCTCCCTCGTTCATTTCCCCAGTCTGTGGCTTGTTTCTCACCATGGTCATAGGCTTGCATTAAATCTTTGCCTTCACAGTCCTCAGAGGAGGACACAGTGCCTGTGGATGGAGCTTTCAACAACTTCTTGTGGCCTAGACATGAAGAACAGATTAAAAACAGAAAAGGAAGCCACTTAAGAGCCAGAAACCAGTTAAATTCAAAGTCACACAGGATTCTGCTTAGGATGCTTCTTCTGTGAAAAAAGAAATTACTTCCTTGAAAAGGAAAGAGTGCGCTACAGTTTTAGGAACTGGGTTCAGTTTAACCTATAGACAGCCTTGTTGAAAATTTAGACCACTTTCGGATTCTGCTAGCGACTGACGCAGCCATGCCGGAGGGGCTCCGTCACAGGCAGAGGTTTGAAAACCTGATCAAACTCTGAGGGACTTGCATTTTACGCACAAGCAACTCATCATCCCATCACAGACCATTTTTGTTTCACTGCAATATTAACAATTTGAAGTGGTTTTTTCCCTAATGCTCCAGCTACTTATCTCAAGGTAAATATAGAGATGCTCATGGTAACTGGCTCTAGAACTGGAAAAGTTAATTGGTGGAATTCAGCATTGAGTTACTACAGATGTTCCGTCTGTACAAACATCCCTCTTCTGTTCTGGGGTTCTCCTGCTCTCCCAGAGTGAATTGCAGGGGGGGGGCACATGGAGTGAGGAGATTGGAGGGAAAGCCAGTTGGACAAGCAAAAGCCCTTGTACATCCCACCCAACAAATTGCCCATCCATTACAGTTCCTGGGTATAGGCTTTCTCCTGGATACAACCAGGAGAGCTTTGTTATCAGCTTCAACATAGTGTGCGCTCGGGTTGTGAATGTGATCCGTGCGGGATTCACGCTCACAACCTGCAGCGTTCGCAACCCGCAGCGGCACGTCTGCACATGTGCGGGTTGTGATTTGGCGCTTCTGCGCATGTGCGGCCGCCAAAACCCAGAAGTAACCCATTCCGGTACTTCCGGGTTTTGGCTGGTCCATAAATCAAAAAAACGCAACCTGAAGCGTCTGTAACCTGAGGCATGACCGTATTTCTTAGAGAGAAAGAGTGATGTTGACACTACCAAGCATACCCTGGCAAACTCTCAACGGGACCACTGTAATGCACTGTATGGCTACCCTTGAAGAAAGTTCAGAAACTTTTATTGGTCCAGTTTTGTTTATTTACATTAAAGTTTATACCTGGATTTCCCTCTCCATACTAAAGAAGTGCAAAGCCACTAACATCAATTAAAGCAAATTTACACAAATAACCTAGTATTTAATCTTTTATTGTTTGCAACATAAGGAATGTTTTAAACAGAAAATCACAGTGTAGAACTTATGTAAGATGATGATGAAATAGACAGGTGGGAATTCCATGGGTGAGATTTGCCTAAGGAGCCCTATCAGAGGAAGCCCTGAGTCAGGGTCTCTGCAGAGGGGCTTTCCGCTTCCTCCCACCACCCCACCCCCAAAGTTGGGTCCCAGCTGGGGTGTCAGGAAAACCCCCAGAACAGTGCATGGAGGAGCGGAGATAGCTTTATCTGGCAAGCTTGCAGGGAGGCATTGTTTGCAAGAGATGACACTGAACTCCACCCCAAGTTTCTGGCACTGTCTAAGTTCAGAACACAGAAGATATGCAATTCTGTATAGACATTGTCAGGGAACTGACATCGGAGCCGAGTGGAGAGGTTAGGCTCCCCAATGATGCCGGAGAAGGAACCAGTAAGGGAGGAGAGCTTCCGCTGGGGAAGGAAGTCAAGGTGACACCAGGAAGAAAGGAGAGGCAGAGAGCACTTCGGAGGGGAGGCTCCGAGACTCTTCCAGTGAAGTCAGTGAGGAGAGTGGAGGACCACCGCTGGGCACGCCCACTCTGCACAGAAGGCTTCCGTGCAGAGAGGCGAGGAGGAGGTTGTCCGTTAAGGAATTCTTATGTTGGAAGAAGTTTAGGAAACGCCCACTGACGGATTCTGCCAGCGACTGAAGCAGCCGTGCCAAGGGGCTGCTCAGCCAGGGAAAGGCGCAACCACCCCAAGCAGTTTGGAACAGTTTGGAGGTTTACACACAAGCAACCCCAATTCCCATTACAGCAATCCGTCAGTCCCTTACGTTGCTTGTGTGCAAGAGGAGAGGGGCACCGTCATGAGTCAAACCGGAGGAGCTGGCGCAGGAGAGGGGGCCAAAGGAGGACCAAGTCTGGAGGAGAGAAACCGAGATTTGGAACAGCAACTGGCTCTGCTAGCAGCGCGGCTGGATGAACGGAGGACTCAGGATGCCCAGGGGAAGATTACCTCCATCGCAAGGAAGGTACCAGGACTAGTGCAGAAGTTTGGGGGCAACCCCAGAGATTATAATGCATTTAAGACAGAAGTGCAGTATGCGCTGGACCTGCAGTATGATGCACCTGGAAGGGAGGGCCAGAGATTGGGTCAGGCCCTTAATGGCGGCGGAGAATGCAGCTTTGAAGGATTTGAGAAAGTTTTTTAGCGCCATGGACCACATGTTCTCGAGTGATGTTGAACAAAGCGTAACTCGCAAAGAACTGATGGGGTGCAAACAAGGGAACCAGTCAGTGAGAGAGTACTGGTCGCGATTTGCGATGTTGATCCATAAATTTGGGTGGGATCTGAGTTCTGAACCAGTGCAAATGTTATTTGAGGAAGGCTTATCCTCTTGGGTGAGAGATGAACTTTCCCGCTCACCCCGCCCGGAGTCGATGGACCAGCTGACCAAGTTGGTGCTCACTGTGGGAGTCAGGCAAGAGACGCGCGCTCTGGAAAGGCGGGAAGGGAGAGCAGAGCGTTGGCATGACAACCAAATTCCAGACGTGCCGGCGTCAACTGTGCCGCCCGAGGAGCCAATGGAGATTGGAAGAGCGCGCGCGCGCGGGGTTTCAAACTCCGGCGAGGTTTGTAAGAAGGAGGGGAAGGCAAATAAGAAGTGTTTCCTCTGCCAGCAGCCGGGACATTTTGCCAGAGTATGCCCTCAGAAAAAGGCATGGCAAGGAATGGTGGGGGCAGTGGGGAGTGAGGAGGAAAGGGATAAGGCGCCGGGAAACGACAGTGCTTGGCTGCAGGAAAGCGGGCACAGCAGCCAGGCGAGCAACCAGTAGAAGTGCCCAAACCAGACCCTCCCCGAGCCATAGAGGTGGTGCTAGAACTCCCAAATGGACACCCACTCAAGGTGAAGGCGCTGCTGGATTCAGGCAGCTCCTGCAACTTCTTTAGCAAGGATTTTGCGCTGGAACACCAGCTCCAAGTGGTGCCTCTAGAACATCCCTTGCAAGTAACCACTATTGATGGGAGAGAACTCTTGGGAGGGGAAGTGACCCACCAGACCCCGCCCATGAAAATGACGGTCTCCAGACACACAGAGACAATTGCCTTTCACGTAGCCACCTTAGCAGGACCACCTATCATACTGGGAATGAGTTGGCTAGCGCTGCACGACCCAGTAGTAGGGTGGCACCAGAGGACAGTAACCTTTGGGTCGGCCCACTGCGTAGAGCACTGCCATGGAGGGGGAAACCTGAGGATGGCAGTAGCCAGCGTGGCAGGGATGGCAGTAGGGGAAAAGGGGAAGGTACCACCTCAGTATGCGGACTTGGAAGAAGTCTTCAGCGAGAAGGAGGCGGATAGGCTACCCCCTCACAGGCCCTTTGACTGTCAGATCAACCTACTCCCAAATGCTCAGCTGCCAGTGGGTAAGCTGTACGCCATGTCAGATAGGGAGATGCAGGAATTGCGGAAGTTTATTGACAAGAACCTGCAAAGAGGATTCATACGGGAATCTAGGGCGGTAGGGGGTAGTCCAGTGTTCTTTGTGGACAAGAGAGACTCCAAGGAGCCCAGGCTCGTAGTGGATTACCGCGGGTTAAACCGGGTGTCGGAACCAGTGACCTTCCCAATGCCCAGAATTGATGACATATTAACCAGGGTAAGGAGGGGGAAGATTTTTACCAAACTGGACCTTCGGGGGGCGTACAATTTGATAAGGATGAGGGAGGGGGATGAATGGAAAACCACCATGTTCACCCCTCTGGGGGCCTTTGAGTACCTAGTTATGCCCTTCGGACTCCAATCAGGATCCAGCACATTTCAAAGTTTTATGCACCATGTGCTGGGGTCCCTGCTCTACAAGAATTGCATAGCCTTCCTGGACGACGTGCTAATCTACTCAGAGAACGAGGAGCAGCATGTAAAGGACATCAGGGAAGTGCTGAAGAGACTGCAGGAGCACCAGCTGTGGGTCAAGTTGGAGAAATGCCAATTCCACGCATGGACCCAGGCAAGGTGCAGGCAGTGCTAGAATGGAAGCCTCCCAAGAGCCGGAAGGACGTACAGAGGTTCCTGGGGTTTGGAAACTTTTATAGGAAGTTCATCAAGAACTTCGCCCATTTAACGGCACCCATAAGGGATTGTCTCAGCAGTAAGAAGTTTGAATGGACGGAAGAGGCCCAGCGGTCCTTTGAAAAGCTTAAGAGGGCGTTCGCATTGGGAGAGCAACTCCTGCATGTGGATCTGCAGAAACCGATGAGGCTGGAGATGGACGCGTCAGACAGAGCGGTGGGGAGCATATTGCTCCAGCCGGGAGATCGGGGAGTGTGGAAGCCGTGTGCCTTTTTCTCAAGGAAGCTGAACAAGTCAGAACAAAACTACACTGTGTATGATCGGGAGCTGCTGGCAATTCACGAGGCCTTTCGACGTTGGAGACATTTTTTAATAGGTGCACAGCACAAGATCCAGGTGTGTACTGACCACAAGAACCTGGAATATTGGAGAACTGCGCGACTACTGAACCAAAGACAGGTGCGGTGGGCACAGGAGTTTTCCAAGTTTAATTTTGAGATTAGGTATGTGCCTGAGAAGGAAAACGTCAGAGCAGACGCTCTTTCCCGCAAGCCTGAGTACTCGGAAGGGGAGGGAGTGCCGGAAGTACGTCATGTCATACCCGAGGAATGATGGGTGTGTGGGGGAGTGTTGGTAGGGAGACAAGAGCTAGCTGGTTTGACGAGGGAGGACCAGTACACCCAAACCAAGATCAGGGAGATCGGTAATGCTGAAGGAAATCAGGGGGGATTTGAGGTAAAGGACAGGGCTTTGTACTATAAGGGTGCGTTGTACATACCGGAAGGGGATTTGAGGAGAAGAATACTGAAACAACTTCATGACAACCCCACAGCGGGACATTTTGGCCAACACAAAACAATGCTGCTGGTCACCAGGCAGTTCTGGTGGCCAAGGGTGAGGGATGATGTGAAGGAATACGTACGCGGGTGCCAGCGTTGCCAGCAAGCTAAAGGGGAGAGGGCAGCACCCGCAGGGTTACTGGAGCCTTTGCCCACACCAGAGAAACCATGGGAGGTGGTATCAATTGATTTTATGACTGATTTACCCAAGGTCAGGGGAAAAACGGCAGTAATGGTGGTAGCTGACTTGATGACCAAAATGTGCCACTTTATTGCTTGTTCGCATGCAGTGTCTGCAGAAGAAACTGCTAAGCTGTTTGTAGAGCATGTTTTCAGGTTGCATGGCGCCCCCTTGAGGATTTTATCCGACAGAGGCCGGCAATTTACTTCCAGATTCTGGAGGAAGCTGATGAGCCTGCTGGACGTCGAGGTGAGCTTCTCAATGGCCAGACACCCAGAGACCAACGGACAAGCAGAAAGAGCTAATAGCATACTTCAACAATACCTACGCTGCTACGTCAACGACAGGGGGAGCGATTGGGTGGACAAATTAGCGCTGGCTGAGTTTGCATACAATAACGCGGAACATGTGTCCACGGGGATGAATCCATTTATGGCGAATTAGGGGTGTCACCCCAGGGCCTTCCCGGGGGGGGGGAGGGGAGGTGGAGTGTGCCAGCGGCCGAACAATTTGTGGAAGAAATGGAGGCTTTACACCAACAGCTTAAGATTAACCTAGAAAGGGCAAAGGAAGAGTACAAAAGACAGGCGGACAAGCACCGCAGAGAAGGAGAAACCATAAGAGTGGGGGACCAGGTGTGGTTGTCTACCCAAGGGTTACCTTTCAAAGGAGGGTGTAAGAAATTACGGCCAAAGCGGTTGGGACCGTTCAAAGTAGCCCAACAGGTGAATCCTGTGACCTTTAGGCTCAAATTGCCCTCTAACATGAAACTGCACCCGGTGTTCCACAGGTCCTTACTCTCACCGTTCAGGGAGGGGAGAGAATTTCTGGGCCAACAAAGAGAAACACCCCTGCATCCACAGATGGAGGAAAGGGAACTCAGTGGTCATGCAGCTGAAATTCTCGATTCTAGGTGGAGAGGGGGGCGAGTGGAATATTTGGTGGCTTGGGAGGGGGAGTCAGAATCGGAAAACACATGGGTTCCATCAGAAGAGATTAGGGATGAGTATCTGCAGGATGCTCCAACTACCGCACAATTGCACTTATTTCACACGCTAGCAAGGTTATGCTTAAAATTCTACAAGGCAGGCTTAAGCAGTATGTGGACCGAGAACTCCCAGAAGTGCAAGCTGGATTTAGAAGAGGCAGAGGAACCAGAGACCAAATTGCAAACATGCGCTGGATTATGGAGAAAGCTAGAGAGTTCCAGAAAGACATCTACTTCTGCTTCATTGACTATGCAAACGCCTTTGACTGTGTTGACCACAGCAAACTATGGCAAGTTCTTAAAGAAATGGGAGTGCCTGATCACCTCATCTGTCTCCTGAGAAATCTCTATGTGGGACAAGAAGCTACAGTTAGAACTGGATATGGAACAACTGATTGGTTCAAAATTGGGAAAGGAGTACGACAAGGCTGTATATTGTCCCCCTGCTTATTTAACTTATATGCAGAATTCATCATGCGAAAGGCTGGGCTGGATGAATCCCAAGCCGGAATTAAGATCGCCGGAAGAAATATCAACAACCTCAGATATGCAGATGACACAACCTTGATGGCAGAAAGTGAGGAGGAATTAAAGAACCTTTTAATGAGGGTGAAAGAGGAGAGCGCAAAATATGGTCTGAAGCTCAACATCAAAAAAACGAAGATCATGGCCACTGGTCCCATCACCTCCTGGCAAATAGAAGGGGAAGAAATGGAGGCAGTGAGAGATTTTATTTTCTTGGGCTCCATGATCACTGCAGATGGTGACAGCAGTCACGAAATTAAAAGACGCCTGCTCCTTGGGAGAAAGGCGATGGCAAATCTAGACAACATCTTAAAAAGTAGAGACATCACCTTACCAACAAAGGTCCGTATAGTTAAAGCCATGGTTTTCCCAGTAGTGATGTATGGAAGTGAGAGCTGGACCATAAAGAAGGCTGATCGCCGAAGAATTGATGCTTTTGAATTATGGTGCTGGAGGAGACTCTTGAGAGTCCCATGGACTGCAAGAAGATCAAACACATCCATTCTTAAGGAAATCAGACCTGAGTGCTCACTGGAAGGACAGATCGTGAAGTTGAGGCTCCAATACTTTGGCCACCTCATGAGAAGAAAAGACTCCCTGGAAAAGACCCTGATGTTGGGAAAGATGGAGGGCACAAGGAGAAGGGGACGACAGAGGATGAGATGGTTGGATAGTGTTCTCGAGGCTACAGACATGGGCCTGACCAAACTGCGGGAGGCGGTGGAGGACAGGAGTGCCTGGCATGCTCTGGTCCATGGGGTCACGAAGAGTCGGACACGACTAAACGACTAAACAACAACAACATCTGCAGGAGGAGTTTCATCGCAGGTACCCTAGGAAGCCCAAACCACTAGAGAGATTCTGGGGGGAGCAATTTGGTACCACAGATGATGAAGAAGAGTTTGTGGGATTTCCCGCTTCCGAAGAGGAGGAAGAGGAATTATCCGAAGGAGAAGAATCCGACTGGGGAGATTGGGGAGCGGGTGGAGACAGCAGCAGGTGGAGAGCGGTGTTTGAATCATCAGGTGGAGGGGAGAGCTCTTTCCGGGGGTTCCCTGCGTCACCGTCCAAGGAACGGACGGGGGAGGGGGAGGGCCCTGGGAGGGAGGTGGATGTCAGGGAACTGACATCGGAGCCGAGTGGAGAGGTTAGGCTCCCCAATGATGCCGGAGAAGGAACCAGTAAGGGAGGAGAGCTTCCGCTGGGGAAGGAAGTCAAGGTGACACCAGGAAGAAAGGAGAGGCAGAGAGCACTTCGGAGGGGAGGCTCCGAGACTCTTCCAGTGAAGTCAGTGAGGAGAGTGGAGGACCACCGCTGGGCACGCCCACTCTGCGCAGAAGGCTTCCGCGCAGAGAGGCGAGGAGGAGGTTGTCCGTTAAGGAATTCTTATGTTGGAAGAAGTTTAGGAAACGCCCACTGACGGATTCTGCCAGCGACTGAAGCAGCCGTGCCAAGGGGCTGCTCAGCCAGGGAAAGGCGCAACCACCCCAAGCAGTTTGGAACAGTTTGGAGGTTTACACACAAGCAACCCCAATTCCCATTACAGACATCAATTGTGACGTGGGGTGGTATTCAGCTAAGCTTTAATCATAGTAGATTCACTGAAACTAATGAACATGTCTAATCTGAGGCCATTAATTACCCTGAGTAAAATGAAGCTAAATACCACTCATGTTTTCCTGCCTGCTATTTTACATATATTTTTATAGCTTACGTTTCAAGGATGGAGAGTGTGGGTGCTTAAAGCATTGCCCACCCCCCAAAACAGAAAATGCATCACCCCCCCAAAAAAGGACAAAGGAAATGCATAAAATTTGCAGATGCTAATTTATATGTATAGACGCAAATTTAGAAATAATTGCTATAATATAAATAGACTCAGTGCCTCTGCTTTCCCTTCTTAGGGATCTTTATTTGTCAATTGGACTTGGGCTGCATAGACCTTCAAATTGCCCTCTGTAAAGCAGGACATGGGGCCAGACTAAGAATGGGTTCCCAGTACCTGCGTGCTGCAGGCTTGTACGTCAGTCTCTGCAGGCAACATTTGCAGATCTGTGCTCTCTTTAATATCTTTTCCTTTAGATATGGATACTGCTGACATGAAATTAGAGTATCAATTCAGAATTTTGTTTTAATATTATGGGTATTTTATTTACAGCACACTCTTCCTGCAGACTCCTGGTGGTTTTCCATTCAGGTCCACAGTTACATAGCTGCAGTGAATCTGCGGCATCACTTCCTCCCAGACCATTCATGGGGCTCCAATTCAGAATGTATTAATGCATTAATTCAATTTTAAAAAGATAATTTAGGGATTGCAAAGGAAGCACAAATTAAATTGCCATTCAGTTTTTTTAAAAGGCATATTTGAAATTCAAAGCCCACTTTTGAAAAACGAATTAAAACCTGGTATTTTAAAGTGATTTGTTTGCCCTTAATAGAAGAGGCACATTGCAAAAAAATAACCAAGCATGCAGATTTACATGTGCTGAAAAACAAAGTTATGTGGAAAAACCTGAAGGCCTCGTGTTAATGGATGTTTATTATTTTGCAACATTTCATACTTTCCTCTCACCTGGGCTGGAGGCAGGTGACTCTAAGGACTGGCCCTCAGTACTCCCTCCCAGACTCTCCGTGTCACTGTGGGAGGATTTGCTGCCACCTGGATAACAGATTGAAACAAAAGCTGTGTGCAACTCATATTTTCACTGTGATGTAGGCAATATGAGAGCACTGTCATCGCCCACAGTTTCAATTCATGCATGCAGCTCAAATGTGTTTTAAGGTTTCATAACCTAGTCAAACTGAACCTGTAAACATCCAATTCCCTTTGCTAATGAAGGAGGATTGGGGCCGGCACCACTGTAACAGACAGGGGTAAATCACTGGGGAAATGTGATGTCTTTACATAGTCAAAGAAATGGGGAGCAGCAGCCAGGAAGACTCGTCTGACTTAAAGGAAGCAGAGAACAGCTGCTGGACAGTTCACAGGTCAGAAGGCATGACGAAAACTGTTCACTTTGGCCAGTGCCTACACTACTCGGGGGAATTCAGTCTGACTTCTACTAGATTGAGGTAATTTCATTGCAGCAAGCTGCAGCAATCTTATAGAGGAGATGCCCTGTTGCGATTCAGTGGCAAATCTACCCTCTAGGCAGCTTCTCCAGAGTTAATCACCTTCTGTCTTTCAGGCAATCTGGACAGGGATTCCACAAACACACAGCTTTCCAGGACAGTATGAAGTTACTTTTTCAGCCAAATAATATAATAATATAACAATAGTTTGGGTGGGGGGAGAGGTGATATGGATAGCTTTCAAATCTTTTATGAAGATAGGAAACAAAAGAAAACAAAAAATAGAATTGTAAAATGTTGGGTGAGGGTGTCTGAGGTAGACATTAGAAATTTTCAGCTGCTGATCCTTGTTCTGTCTCCACCTTATTTCCACTAAGGTCTGAAAGGAGCATCCAAGAAACAGGGCTAAGAAGTGAGGATCCAGGAGACTGAAAAGGAAGTCTGGGGGCTCCCAAAATGACTAGTTAGGACCTGGGACAGGCAGCTGGTGGCCCACAAGCTGGACTCAAGAAGCATTTTTGTGGCCCTACCGACTCTCAGTCAAAGTATGTTTAAGACACTGATCTCTCAGTTTGACGTGCTAGGAAAATAAGATTTTCAAATGGTAACAAATAGAGATATCCTTCACTTTAAGGATACACCCGCTCTCTCATTTTTTATCTTTTTATGTGTGAAATCGTATCTATAAGTTCTGCTAAATCTGAACTTTTATGTGCTCCTTTATATCCAAGCTGTTACTGTTAGAAGACGCCAGAGTTTTAAATGAAGTCTACGAATGCATGGAGAATAGGGTTTTCCCTGATACTACAAAGTTGCCCCCCACCTCAAACTAGCAATCCCAAGGTAGAGTGACCACCTTGACCCCAGTCACTGAAGGGAGAGCATGGGGTTTGGGCAGCCTTGGTCTGGGCGTCAAGGCGCAGCGGTGGTGCCACCCTCTGAGCACTTGCGGTGCTGCGGATCCCTGGACAGGGCAAGGCCACAGTGAGGCCAGGGCATGCAGGTGCACGGACAGGAGCCCTGGACTGGCTCTGCATGAAAGCAGGCCCAACCTCAGCCCCGCCCCTTCCAGGAAACCTGTTGTGATGCCAAGCTGGCCCCACCACACAGGCTGGTGCTGGGTTCTGGACGGGGTGGTCCTTGAAATGCGTCATTGTCTTTCCTTGGCCCTTCTCTCCACTCCAGCCCTGTGAGAACCATTCACTGATCTAGCTGGGCCATGGCAATAATTATGGAACAAAACTGAAGGACAATAAAACAGAATAAAACAGAAAATTGACTTTAATGTAAACATAACTTACTTTGCTCACTGCTTGAGGACGATGGCTTTCCAGAGGCATCTTCTGAGGAGCTGCTGAGGTCAGCTGCAGATGATGAGATACGAGTATTGTGTGAAGCATTCTTTCTTCTCGCATTGGTGGGGGGTGACCTGAGAAAGCAATGCATCTGTCAAGCACTTCAGTTTTCTCAAAGGATGCAAACATTTAATGGTCAGTAAAGAACTTGTTCATGAGTTGGTGCAATGGTTCAATGGTTTTGCCACTGCAGGTGGCAGGCTGGTGCATTTGCTGCTCCCATCATGTGTAGGCACACTAGCCTTCATCAAGCAGCTAGCTGGAAGAAGATATTTCTTGTTTTAAAAGGACAGAAGAGCACATCTACCTGTGGAGATGGTGCTGCACTTCCACCATTCTCCAACAAGCCAGACTATGTGCAGTAAGAAAAAAGATGGAAGATGTACTGGCAAACCATAGGCAGATTGCAAATGGAGGACAGCTTTGTGTGGACCCTTCTAAGATATCCGTGAACCCTTGTTCTTTTTTTTTTAAAGAATATTTATTAGCGTTTTACAAAAAACATAGGTTTACAGAATAAAAAGAATTAAAACAGTAATTAACATACTAAAAAGAAAACATAAAAGGGAAAAAGAAAAAAAAGAAAAAAAGAAAAGCAGCCAATACCACTTATTTTCAATCCAACATCATTTTAACATTCATTAATTTTACAGTATTTCGGCAAGTAGTCTTTAAATTTCTTCCAATCTCCTTCCACCAACTCTTCTCCCTGGTCTCGGATTCTGCCAGTCATTTCTGCCAATTCCATATAGTCCATCACCTTCATCTGCCACTCTTCCAGTGTGGGTAGATCTTGTGTCTTCCAATACTTTGCAATCAGTATTCTTGCTGCTGTTGTTGCATACATAAAGAAAGTTCTATCCTTCTTTGGCACCAATTGGCCGACTATGCCCAAAAGAAAGGCCTCTGGTTTCTTCAAGAAGGTATATTTAAATACCTTTTTCATTTCATTATAGATCATCTCCCAGAAAGCCTTAATCTTTGGGCACGTCCACCAAAGGTGAAAGAATGTACCTTCAGTTTCTTTGCATTTCCAACATTTATTATCGGGCAAATGATAGATTTTTGCAAGCTTGACTGGTGTCATGTACCACCTGTAAATCATTTTCATAATATTCTCTCTTAGGGAATTACATGCCATAAATTTCATACCTGTGGTCCACAACTGTTCCCAGTCAGCAAACATAATGTTATGTCCAACATCCTGTGCCCATTTAATCATAGCAGATTTAACCGTCTCGTCCTGAGTGTTCCATTTTAACAGCAAGATATACATTCTTGAAAGTATCTTAGTTTTGGGATCTAACAATTCTGTTTCCAACTTTGATTTTTCCACCTGGAAGCCAATTTTTTTGTCCAAATTATAGGCCTCTCTTATTTGATAATAATGAAGCCAGTCTCGCACTTTGTCTTTTAATTTCTCAAAGCTCTGCAATTTCAATTTGTCTCCTTCTTGCTCCAAGATTTCCCAATATTTCGGCCACTTGGCCTCCATATTGAGCTTTTTCTGAGCCTTTGCCTCCATCGGTGATAACCACCTTGGGGTTTTATTTTCAAGTAAGTCTTTATATCTTATCCAGACATTAAACAATGCTTTCCTGACAATATGGTTTTTAAATGCTTTATGTGCTTTAACCTTGTCATACCACAAATATGCATGCCACCCAAAAGCATTATTAAAACCTTCTAGAAATGTCTGTGTTCTCAAGAAGCAGCCATTCTTTCAACCAGCAGAAAGCTGCTGATTCATAATAAAGTTTAAAGTCTGGCAGGGCAAATCCCCCTCTTTCCTTTGCATCAGTTAGTATTTTAAATTTTATTCTGGGCTTCTTGCCCTGCCAGACAAATCTAGAAATATCTCTCTGCCACTTCTTGAAACAGTCCATTTTGTCCAAAATTTGTAGTGATTGAAACAAAAACAACATTCTTGGCAATACATTCATCTTTATAGCAGCAATTCGACCCAACAAGGAAAGCTTCAAATTTGACCATATTTCTAAGTCCTTTTTCACTTCTGACCAACATTTTTCATAGTTGCTGTGATGGGATAATGAGCTGCTTGTGCGTAAAATGCAAGTCCCTCAGAGTTTGGTCAAGTTCTCAAACCTCTGCCTGCGACGGAGCCCCTCCGGCATGGCTGTGTCAGTCGCTAGCAGAATCCGAAAGTGGTCGCTTTCGGAATCTCTTCCAACATAAAAGCTCCTTAACGGAAACGCGTCTTCTGGACTCTCGGCGTGACAGTTTCCGGCGAGGAGTGGGTGTCCCTATAGGAGGTCTTGAGACCTCCCCACTGTTTTCGCTGGAAGCGTCTCTGAGCCATCCCTCCGACTCACTTTCCCTTGGAATCCCTTCTCTCCCCCTACTGGTTCCCTCTTCAGCTGCTATGTCTCTCTCAACCTCAGTGAGCCTTTCCACCTCCTGTCCTTCCGATGTCAGTTCCCTGACATCCACCTCCCCTCCAGGGCCCCCTTCACCCCCTCCCGTCCCCTCCTCTATGGGCGGTGAGGAGGCAAACCCCCTGAAAGAACCTCCCTCATCTTCCGAAGTCTCGAACACTTCCCTACACTTGTTGCTGTCCCTGGTCTCCCGGTACTCCTCGTCATCGGAGTCAATTCCCTCTTCCAACTCCGATTCCGCGAATCCTTCCAGTTCCTCTTCCTCGTCGGTGGTGCCGAAATACTCCCTCCTAAACCTTGCTACAGGCTGAGGTTTCCTCGGGAACCTTTGGTGGAATGTTTCTATTAAAACCTCATCATTGACATCCCCTGCAGTCACCCAGGTGTTTTCTGACTCCGGTTCCCCTTCCCACGCCACCAAATACTCCACCTGATTTCCCTTCCACCTGGAATCGAGGATTTCTGCTACATGGTTGCTGCGTTCCCTTTCTTCCAAAGCTGGTCCCCTGGCGTGCTCCCCTTCACGTCCCCCCCTGTACAGTGACAGTAACGACCTGTGGAACACTGGGTGCAATTTCATGTGGTTGGGCAACCGGAGTTTGAAAGCCACTGGGTTGACCTGCTGAATGACCTCAAAGGGTCCCAATCTTTTGGGTCTCAATTTCTTACAACCCCCTTTGAAAGGCAACCCTTGGGTTGACAGCCACACCTGATCCCCCACCCTTATGGTTTCACCTTCCCTTCTGTTCTTGTCTGCCTGCTTCTTATATTGTTCCTTGGCCCTTTCTAAGTTGAGCTGGAGCTGATGATGGATCGCTTCCATCTCTTCTACAAAATGTTCGGCCGCTGGGACGCTCCATCTCTCCCCTCCACCCCCTGGAAATGCCCTGGGGTGACACCCGTAATTAGCCAAAAAGGGGCTCATCCCTGTAGACACATTCTCCGCATTATTGTAGGCAAATTCTGCCAGCGCCAACTTTTCGACCCAATCGTTCTCTCTGTCATTGACATAACACCTCAGGTATTGTTGGAGGATGCCATTTGCTCTTTCCGCCTGCCCGTTGGTTTCAGGGTGTCGGGCAGTCGAAAAATTGACCTCCACGTGCAGCAAGCTCATGAGCTTCCTCCAGAACCTGGACGTAAATTGTTTGCCTCTGTCTGAGATCACCCTCAAGGGGGCGCCGTGCAACCTAAAAATGTGTTCTACAAACAACTTCGCGGTTTCTTCCGCTGTGACTGCATGTGAGCATGCTACAAAGTGGCACATCTTAGTTAACAGGTCTACTACTACCATGATGGCTGTTTTCCCCTTGGACTTCGGCAGATCCGTCATAAAATCTATCGATACCGCTTCCCAAGGCCGTTCTGGCGTGGGTAATGGTTCTAATAACCCTGCCGGCGCCCGTCTTTCCCCTTTGGCTCGCTGACATTGGTCACACCCTCTTACACACTCCCTTACATCTTCCCTCACCTTGGGCCACCAAAATTCCCTGGTAACCAACCACATGGTCTTGTGTTGCCCAAAATGTCCCGCCGTGGGGCTATCATGCAACTGCTTGAGTACTCTCCCCCTCAATTCACCTTCAGGTATATACAGTGCCCCTTTGTAATACAATGCCCCATTTCTTTCCTCAAAACCCCCGGGGCTCTCGCCCTCCCCCCTGAGACCTCTGAGCTTATCCTGGGCATATTCATCATTTTCCGTTTCCTCTACCAGTTCTCGTTGCCCCACCAGCGCTGCCCCACACACCCAGCGGTCCTCAGGGATGACATGTCTCTCTTCGATTGCCCCCTCCCCCTCCAAATACTCAGGTTTACGAGAGAGAGTGTCCGCCTTGACGTTTTCTGGGCCTGGCACATAACGAATTTCAAAGTGGAATTTGGAGAACTCCTGTGCCCATCTCACTTGTCGTTGGTTGAGCACTCGAGCCGTTCTCCAATACTCTAAATTCTTGTGGTCGGTGCACACTTGCACCTTATGTTGTGCCCCAATTAATAAATGTCTCCACCTCCGGAACGCTTCGTGAATGGAGAGTAGTTCCCGGTCATACCCCGTGTAGTTCCTCTCGGATTTATTCAGCTTCCGCGAGAAGAAGGCACACGGTCTCCACTCTGACGTACTCCTCCCCGGTTGAAGAAGCACCGCCCCTACCGCCCGGTCTGACGCATCGGTTTCCACTCTCATGGGTTTTTGTAAATCCACATGCAGAAGTTGCTCTTCCGAGGCGAATGCCCTTTTCAGTTCTTCAAATGCTCGCTCCGCCTCCGCCGTCCAAACAAATTTCTTCTTGCTGCTGAGGCAGTCGGTGATGGGAGCCGTCAAGTGGGTGAAGTTCTTGATGAACTTCCGATGAAGTTCCCAAACCCCAGGAATCTTTGCACATCCTTCTTGGTCTTCGGTGTTTTCCATTCCAGTACCGCTTGGACCTTGCCTGGATCCATGGCCAATCCCTTGTCTGACAAGCGGTACCCCAGGAATTCCACCTCCTTGGTATGAAACTGACACTTCTCCAGTTTCACCCACAGCTGGTTGGCTTGCAGCCTGCCCAACACTTCTCGAACGTCCCTCACATGCTGCTCCTCATTCTCCGAATATACCAACACGTCGTCTAAAAAGGCCACACAGTTCTTGTAGAGCAAAGGTCCCAGGACGTGGTTCATAAAGGCTTGAAAACACG